GGTCGCGACCAGAGTCGCGGAACGAATTAAGTTCGTGAACCGAGGTACCACTGTATTTATGGTTTTAATGTTTTGTGTGAACTGCCCAGAGTCCCACACTGAGGGGAGATGGGCACGGGAGAAATTTAATAAATAAATAAATAAATAAATACTCTAGGACAGACATGTGTTGGGTCTCTAAGACTCAAAACCATTCATTAAAGAAGTACAAATTCTCCCAATGATGTCCACAGACCACAATATATGGCATTCCAGAGAAAACTTACTTTTCAGATGGAAGATGAATGACAGTTTGCCACTCCGTTACAGTATTCTACAGAACTGCAAAGAGGAAAATCGATATAAATAAAAATAAATAAATAAAACACCAGGAATCTCTGTTACTACAATTTGGGAAACAAGTAAAGCATATTAAAAAGAAGCCTTTTTTTTTAAAATCAACATAACAAACGGAAAGATGCCAAAATAAAGGAATTAGAACAAATGCTACAACAAATTAGAACTAACCCAAAAAGACAGCTGGTGAAAGAATTACAAGAAGTTAAACAACAATTAAATTTATTGGAAATAGAAGAATTGCCAAAGGAGATAAAATTTGCTAAACAAAAGAATTTTGAACATGTGAACTATTTTTAGCATACCAGATTAGAAACAAGAAAAAAAACATAGACAATATCGGCAATAAAGAAAGGGACTAAAATTACATATTAGACTGGAAATTATAGAAGAACCGGTAGCTTTTTTCAAGGAACTGTATTCTGTGACTAACATCAATGAAGCAGCCATGAATAAATACATTGAAAAGTTTGTTCTTAAAGAATTTAATTGCCAACATAGACAAATATTAAGTAAACTATCGAAGAAACAAAAGAGGCAATAAAACAATTCATACTTTGGAAGGCATCAGGAAAAAGAACTGACTAAAATCAGAAACTACAAAAAATGTAAAGGTCTATAAACATTATACATTAGAGTACAACGAAGGGGAAATTAGGAAGTAATGGTGGAGATTTTGGCACCTAGAGATTCAAATCCTTACATTGTTAAAATAATTTAATGTACTTCGTTTTTTATAATTAATTTCTCATCAACAATATACTGAGCATTAACTGTACAATCTTGGTAATTCCTTTGTCCACTTACAGATACTATATTTTTGTATCAAATAATTTTTCTTTTTTTTCTTTTCTCCTTTTGCTTTTTGCTTACTCTTTTTTCCTTCTTTAAAAAAAAGATTAATAAATGGTTTTTTAAAAAAATAATAATATATTTGAATAATAAAAACATCAACAAAATTCAAAACCCATCATGCCTGTGGCAGTACACATAAACAAATGGCTCATTTAACTTCCTAGCCCAATGCCCACAGGAATAGCCAAGATTTTAATGCCTTACAGTAAGTCATCAGGATTAGGGCCATCCAAATCTCAGGAATATACTATTCCACAGCGTAGTGCAGTGACAGAGATGGCATGCTTTCTGGGTCTCATCAGAGGGCATTGTTTAATTGAGGGAACTCAGACCATGACCACCCTGGCAGACCTTATGGGATTGGCAGAAATAATATGAAACAGGTGGTCCCGCAAATAACTGAGCCCTATGCCATGAACATCTTTTATAAGATGACCAAGCCTCTTGAATTGACCCAGAAACCTAGTGCAGTTTACATAGTAGTGGTGTTACATGTATGTACTGAGGTGCTCCCATAACCACTTGTGCTACTGCATTGGACACCAGCTGCAGTTTCCAAGGGGTCTTCAAGGGCAGCCCCATGTAGAGCACATTGGAATAATTCAAATGGGAAGTAACAAAATGTGTGTGACTTTGAGCAAGGCCTCCTGATCCAAGAATGGGCACAACTGGTACAAAAGAAGAATTTATTCAAAGACCCTCCTAGCCACAGCTGCCATCTGCTCTTCTAGCAGGAACTGAGAATCTAGGAGGAACATGTTCCATCTGGGTCAATGCACTCCCATCCAGAACCAGTGGATCCCCTTAGCCATTCAGTCTTGCTAGGGTTGAGTCTAAGCTTGTTTCTTTCCATCCAAACTCCCTCAGCCTTGAGAAAAAGCCTTGATATCATCACTTTGTTGGCCAGAAGTTGAGATATACAGTTGAGTATCATCAGTATATTAATGATACTTAACTCCATGCCATCAGATGACCTCATCCACCAGCTTCATATAGAAATTAAATAGGAGTGGGAAAAGGGGAGAGCTTTGTGGAACCCCACAAAGCAGAGGCTTAGGGCTGGACATCTGTCCCTTGTCACCACGGAATGGAATCGTGGAGGAAGGAAAAGCACCATAATACCACACCCTCATTCCTAACCCCCTCAGCCAGTCCAGAAGGATACCATGATTGATAATATTGAAAGCCACTGAGAGATCAAGGACACAGGATGGATTCATTACTCCAGAGTCCACTGGAGATAGGTGGCCAATAATTTAAATCATCATCATCATCATCATCATCCCATAATGATCCCATCCCATCATTCATCATCCATACAGTGTGTGTGATGAATACAATTTTCAGTAGTATACTCGGTTCTGAAACCTGGCTGAAAGGGGCCCAGATAATCCTTTTCCTCCAGGGCCATCTGAAGGTATAGCCCAATCACCTTCTCAACAACCTTCCCCAAAAAGGGAAGTTGGAGACAGGGCAAAAGTTGCCCAATACCATTGGGTCTGGCAATGGCTTCTTGAGGAGTGGATGGGTCACTGTTTCCTTAAGCACAAGTGGGGCCCCACTAACTGCCCCAAGGAGCCAGTCACTTTTTTGTGATTAGTGTGGCTCAAACTTCTCTCAGATAACCAAGCCGGTCTGTGCCTCAGTCAACTCCATGGACTTGCACAATCAGAGCCAACTCAAAGCGAATTGAGCAATTTTATCCAAATAGTTCTCACAGCTGCCCTGCAGATGTTGCTCTTGCCTCTCCTTAGCCAGAAAGGACTGGTCATCTTCAACAGGGCCTCTGGCTGGCAATCTGTGAATATGGAAAGAGTAGAAAAATAGAGTTTTGCCACTCTTATCATTCCTGAGGTAATCCTTAACAAAGGCTTTTACTGCATTCTCCAGTAGCTCTCTAGGTGTCTCTTCTGCCATTTCATCTCCGAAGTTACTCTGAAAACAAGGGGGAGCTTCAGGATCTTTCCCCAGGGAGAGGCCATACAGGTGTAATCCAATCCAAGGCCATCATCAGTGTCTCGATTCCCAACTGTGACTAAAGTTTCAGTCAAACTGCATCAGAGTCTTAGAAACAACCCTAAATTTCCTCTAAAACCCCACATCAGGTGCTTGGGATGACCCAAATAGTGAACAATGTCTGTCAGTTGGAGAGAAGAAAAAAACTGACAGAAAGAAAAGATGAAAAGAGCAAGAGTATGATATGTATGTAAAATGCGAAATTTATAGTGGAGCCCATGTTGTAGATTGAGATTAAAGGTTTTGCAATTTTCAAAGGTAATTTGGGCACAGTTCAAAAATTGCATTTTAAATTCCTTCTTGTACTCAGTGTGTAATTACCCTCATCCCTCATGTGCATAATAAATATTGTTTTGTGCACCAGGTTTGCAGGGAATTCCAGCGAGGAAACTGTGCACGGGGTGAAACTGATTGTCGCTTTGCACATCCTGCTGACAGCACTATGATTGATACAAATGACAACACCGTAACTGTTTGTATGGATTACATAAAAGGGCGCTGCCTGAGGGAGAAATGCAAATATTTTCACCCTCCTGCTCACTTGCAGGCCAAAATCAAAGCTGCTCAGCACCAAGCAAACCAAGCTGCACTGGCGGCCCAGGCAGCTGCTGCAGCTGCTACAGTCATGGTAAGTGCCCGGGGACAGATCATGGCTGCTTTGGGGGATCTAGACTGCTTTGAGATTCAGCTTCAGGTCCTTGATCTTGGTACTTTTAAAATGGATTTTTGCTACATATCAGCAATCCAGCAAACCTGTTTTACTGAGTAATTTCAGCATGAGGGGTATCTTCTTGGAATGCAGCAAAGCTCAAGTTCTAATTGTCCCTTTTTGTTCAGCATTTTCCTTTGCATTTAGTACAGGCTCTTATTTCTAAAGAATAACTTGGATTTAACTTGGATCCTTCAAAGTTCAGATAAACTGGTCTGCTAACTACATATACCTATATATTCATATGGTGGTTTATGAAATATCCAATGTAGTCTGTCTGTCTGCCTATCTATAACTCTTTATTAAATTTGCATACTGCCTGCTCCAACTGGAGTCATGGTGGCTTACCCAGTGACTGTAGTGGTTATAACATTGGGAAGAAAGGAAAGATGACTTCATTCATATGCATGTCTTTTAATTTGAGGAAAAAACACTGGATGTCTCTCGCAGTTTCTTTTCCAAAATTATTTAATTTGATGGGGTAAATATGGTGTACAATAGTGTGATATGCATTCTCTGAATAGACTGAGTCCCTGGAAGAAAACATGTGCAGGAACTTTTGCCAATCAGTCACTATGTCTCATAATGATAATCTTGGAAGGCTCTGTTATGATATAATTCTGTTAGAATGATCTTCACCATTTCTATTTATTTCTTTTCCAAAAAAGAAAATACCATTTTGTCACCTGTGGAGTTTTTGAATAGCTTCATTCATTAACCTGTGATATCTTGTCACAGTCCCAATAACCCCTTTAAGTGGGTGGAATATTATACTATATGTGTCTAACGTTTGGCTTTCGAAAAAAAATGTCATTGTGTTACTGAATTTCGAAGCTAAGCTCTCTATATGATCATTCTAAAATCTTGTAGGAATATCACTTTAATGACCATGATATTTCTATTTACAATATTTTTTCAAAAATAGTTTATTTAGTTTAGAAGTGCTGAAAGAGCTGTTTTACCCTCAGAATTGTCTCCCTGTTAGCAGGGCAAGTAATAAAACAAAGTAGTTACTTTGTGTGGTAGATGTAGATTGTACATCCAGCCCCAATACAAAATACTGTCAGAAACACAGCTAATAAGTAGCTTCTTGCAAGCCTCACATAATGATTTTAAATCCACCAGAATCAATTTGACATTTATTGAGATCTGCTTTTAGGGAACAGAACTCAAACTTCTGCCTCTTTTTAAGATAGATAGATAGATAGATAGATAGATAGATAGATAGATAGATAGATAGATAGATAGATAGATAGATAGGATCAAACAATTATATAACAAAACATAAACACAATCAAAGATAGAAATCTATGATTAACCATAATTTCACATGAACTTGTTTAAAAAGAAGGAGCATCTAATATTTCCATCCATACTGTAAGAATTAAGGAGTGTGAACTTTGCTTTACTTCAGTTTAGTACTGTAATTTTGTTTTTGCCTGGGGATCCCATTCATCACTATCTAAAGTCAGAGAAGTTCTCTTTCCTTGATTTCTTGCTGAAATCACTCTGATCAGTGGATAGTTAAATTTTAGAATTTGCTGCCATAAAATGCAGTGGTGTGGGCCAATTTGGAAGGATTTAAAAGGTGTTTAAAGTCCTAAGAATAAAATAAGAGCTACTAGGCATTATGGCTATAGACTACTTCTAGTATCAGTGGCAGTAAGCCTCTAGATACCAGTTGCCAGGAAACAGCTACTGGGAGGTTTTAATGCTCTCCTGACCTCCTTGTGGGCTCCCCACAGGCATTTGATTGGTCACTATGGGAGCAAAGTATTGAACTAGATGAGCCTCGGCCTGATCCAGCACAGCTCTTCTTATGGTTTGTTGTTGTTTTGCATAGCTAGTTCTGGGTGATCCTTGGTGAGTGTTCATTTTGATTGCAATGACAAAAACAACAGTTTAATACTTCTGTTAGGAGTTCGGCTGAGGACAAAACTATTTCTACCAATATTGAAAAGACTTCAATATTACTTCAATATTGGGCATTTTTAAGCAAACAAATCCAGATTAAGTAGACGTCGGAATTACTGAGGGGTGAGTTCTGAGAAAATGGTGCAGTTTAGCATTACAGATATCCCTTTTGGAAGAGAACAAAAGATAATTAGAACGTTTCTCCACCATCTCTACCGAACTCAGGATACAAGAGTTTGTTCAGTCCCTGAGTACACGTAATACCATGCTGCAAACAAAAATGAAGGCATGCTGCAGAAATATAACTTTATGGTTTAAATTCTGTTATCCTCATTAAGAAAATACCTATTTGAGCCAACTCAGAATCAAAAACATTGTGCAAAGGTTTTGAGTTCTCAATACTTCATTCTGTAAGATAAGACAGCCCCAAAAAAGTGTTTTGGGTGGAAGAGAACAAAATTCAAGCAGACTTGTGGTTATTTTGTGATTTTGCACAGACCTATGTGAAGTATGACCAGTCTTTTTGTTGATGTCTCAAACAATTGAATTAATTCTGCTTATTAAGGGGAAATATACTCGCTAAACTTTGTATATGCACAGGAATACTAAGAGATTAAGAGAAAGTAAATGAGAGCAAAGATTTACTAAATCATAAATTACATATAAGGGAATCAGCTGGTATTTACACAGTGATCAATCAAATGATCCAATAACTTTGGAACTCACTTTGTGACCATTGAGTAAAATGAAAACTAGGACCACTTCTGCTGTGGTTCTGATAAGGGAAATATGAACCCTACTGCTTCTTTCTTAGGCTGCTTCCAGAAACCCTGATATGCTGCTCTTTTAAATTAACATAATCCCACTCTTCAAATAAGAGAACTGTGGGGATGGCTTTCAGTATGAAGCAGGTGCCTGGGCATTCAGAATGTTAGTTTGTAGTGATACAATTGCAGCAACAACCTATAAGCTTGACTCCTGGTGACTACATGTCCATGTAGCTTTGCTGGCAACAGTGAGAAAGTAGTTTGCTATTGCCTATCATTTTTCAATTTCCCAGGGTAGTTTATCTGCCTGGGATTTGTTGGTGGTCTCCCATCCAAGTGCTACCCAGGTGCAACCCGGATAAGCTATTTTTGAGGTCAGATAGGTAGTGTAGTTTTAGTCTTCCATTGATTCATGCTATTACCTTTGGAATTTCCAGAACTTTTGCCTTTTTTAAATAAGATATTATCTAAGTTATTATATTTATTTATATTCCAAGCATGAAATTGTGTGATCTTGAATTCTAATGTCATCTGAGGAGAGAACTGTTATGCTGAATGCATGAATAGAGTTAAAATATATTAAATAGGTAAAGTAGAATAAATTCATAACAGAAACATCTCAGGGAAAGAACTCTTGAGATTCCGGGAAGATCCTGCTAGGTAGAGCAAGTAGCATTAGGTTAGATGAAATTATGATCTGATTGTTTAAAAAAGCTACATCTGCTTTTGGTATTCTGATTAAATTATATTTGAGGAATATTATTCAGCGCAATTTTGTCACTGTAATTTCTGTTCTGAGCAGAACACAAAATTTCTTACTCACAAAGAAAAGTCCTCCCATTTCTAGATGTTATTAACAGTTGGTATAGAATACGTTATGTCTAACATCCCGAAACAAAATGTTAAACAAAAATGCTATTATTTTTTTCTATTTAACATGATAAGCTGTGGTTCCTAATATAATTAGGCAACATTTTAAAATATGCTGAATTTGATAAGTTAGTGAGCAGAATTTACTGAACATATAAATAAAATTTAAATTTAAAATAATATTAAACTTTTTCAGTTTTATATATGTTCATTTCATTAGATAGCTTAATTTTTTTTCAGTGATTTCAATTTTGGATGTTAATTTTTGGAAATTAATTTATGCTTTCTAATATGACATAACTAACATTGGAAATTGGTTTAGGAAAATCATTGAAATAACTACTTTTCTACATAGTGCAAAAGCTTACTGGTGCTTATCTGTCTGGAAGCTGCTATTTTATTCAACTTTCTTAAATTCCAAACATCTGTTTTATTCTTATATGTTTTTAACTAAGTTATGATAGATGCATTTTTTGCTCCAATACTAATTCAAGATGTAATGTTCATTTCTTTAGATGATAAAGTATTTCTGTTGTTGTGCATGCCTGGTGTTCTGTATATTGCATTCAGAATATTTTTTTCCTTCTCACCTATCCACAATGCAATGCCGTTCCCATGATGCACCTCTGCTTGCTGTTTGCCTGTATGTTAATTCACTTGAATTCCATTGGCCACTGCCATCATGTGCTCGCTGCCTATTCTTAAAAGACTCAGTCGACTGCCAAAGCAATGAAGCGACCTCTCGAAACAACTGTAGACCTGGTACTTTGACTTTCACCTTTTGCTTTGCATGTAGCTTTTCCAAAATGCAAATAAATTTAATGTTATCTTTATTGTATTTTTAATTGTAAGACATAATTTCAGTATTTGGGTCATCTCATTTTCACATGTTATTATCGCAGAACAACCTAACTTCTTTCCTAACAAAGTTGCATCTTCAATTGACTTATTTTAAAAGTTGAAGTGAAGAGAAAAATTATTTTTTTCATTGACAGTGCTTATTCCATAATAAATAACATGTGCCTTTTAGAAATATAACGTAGCAATGGAGGCGAATATGTGTAGCTCAGGGTTGAACTGTAGAGTCCA